GCCCACAGATTCCTTTGCCCTCTCGCAGGCCCAAAGCATTTCATCTGTCTGCTAAAAATCACCTCGCCAGGCCTGTGCTTCCTCTTCTCACTCTGTCCCAACCTGGACCATGTACCCCATGGCACTCAGTCTGATTTCCAGCACACCAACTAAAGCTCATGGCTGCTTCGTCTTCAAAGCCTCCCTGCCCGGGCAGAGCAAGCACTACCACAGATGCAGGAGGGACTTCCCTCGAGATGCGGTTGCCCGTCAAAATGTAACAGAAGCCTTTTATACCTCAAAAGGTCTTTAAAACCCACTGGGCACAACACAGCACAAAATGGTTTCACTCTGCTCCAGCCCCTGCAGCAAAGCAGTGACGACCACCCTGCCACACGCTGGCATGCCGCACAGCAGTCTCACCCCCAAGAGGCTCCACTCTCCAACCAACCGCATGCATCCTAGGCAAAAAAGCTCACGCAAAGGTTTGATAGTCCCGGGGTACATGTACGGGTGCTGACTACCTTCACAACACATCAGGCAGGATCAGGATAGGAAGAGCCGAGAGTGGTTGCAGTTGTCATATAGAGAGAGGGCTGCAAAGCTGGTTTCCCAACAGTAAAAAATTATCCCCAAAACAAGAATGTACATCCAAACCCTGGTAACCACAAAGGGGCTTAACCAGGCACAGGGACAGTGGGGAGCTGATCCGAGCCCCAGCAGGGCGTATATTCCTTGCCAGCATCCCTGGCCCTATGAACAAACCAACGCATGTGTTTGCTTTGCCTCTGTGCAGGCTGTGCTCGTGTGGCTGAAAAATAGCCTCTCTCCATTCTTTTGGGATTACGTGTTTCAATAGCCAGCAAGAACTGGAAGCAAGTTCACCCAACTGCCAGCTGCAGGCCGTGATGCACCTTCCCCACAGCTCCTCTCCCCCTGGCCCTGCAGCAGGGCTGCCGTTGCTGCTGCTGCTCACTCAGGTACCCACAAAATGCCGGAGCTTCTTCCCACGCTGAGCAAGTGGAAAAACTTTTGTGCGCTCTGATCTGCAGCTCGTCGCCAGCAGCTTCCCCTTGAGGGCTTAATGTAGTTATTTCTACCCCTGATGCCTATAATTGAATGAACATTTCCTTATGGCACTGAAGAGGCCAAGGAAAAACTGACTACAGGGAATTTTCATTCATCCTGATTTATACTCCCTCAGCTTGGGCTCGTTCACACAATGCTAACAAGGAATCTTCTAAGCAGGCAGAAGGGGAAAAAAAAAACTTAAATAGCCCCCATGCAGACAAGCACCTTGGGGAGACAACAAGAGGGAAGAGACCAATTCCCTCCCTTCTGCCCCTGCTGTTAACCATATCATTTTCCTACTTGCAAAAGCAAAGGGGCTCAGATACCCTAGAGGCTGGAGAGATGTTTCCACACTCTGCCAGCAGACCTGTGCTGCCCAGCAGTCTGCTGGGACCCCAATGAGGCGCAGGTCCCATTTCAGCCCATCCCACAGGTCTACGGAGGCTCCTGATCCTGGGAGGCACGCTGCAGGAAGCATGCCTTTCCCCCAGCATCGAGGAATCTCGCTCAGTCCCTCCAGCTCTCTCTCAGGTTTTAACCATTCCTGTCCTGCAGGACTGGAGGAGCAAGGCTGGAGTGCACTGAGTTATTCCAGACTGGAATAGCTGAGCAAAGCTACCAACCAAAACAGGGCTTCATTTATAAATTCCCAGCAGTCTGCATCTCCACTTTTGACCTCCCATCTAGGTAGGAGTCCAGGTGTCTGGAGATGCCTGGCCAACCGAGTCCAGCCCCCCCAAGCTGCCACAACCCACCAGGATTACCAGTTTCACTAGATTAGGAACTCAGCTGTCCCTCGGAGCTGCTGCTCACCTCCCACCCCTACGCCTCTCCCTGCTAGGACAGCAGAGAAGACCACAGGGAAAGCCAAGGACCCAAATCCTCCACATCATCACCAGCTGGACAGCAACACTAGAAAGTTTCCAGCAGCCTCAGCAGAATAGGAAACACACCCTGCCCTTGGCACAGCAGTATCAGCTGTGGTCCTTTCAGCCACCAGATTTCAAAACCACCACAAGGTCCGTCTCCTTCCTCCGCAGAGCAAATGTAGCTTTCAAGCAATGGGGATGGGGCCAACCCTCGCCGGCAGATCGGCGGGGTGGGAACATGGCAGTTCCCCGCCATGTACCTTGCCCTCCTCTGCGGAAGAGGCGGAGGTCTGGGTGAGTTTGGGGGACACAGGTCTCCTGCTGAGATGCAGCTAAAGGACCTTTGCCAGCCATGCCCAAGGTTTTCCCTAATGTGGACAACCGGCCTGGAGGAAGCCACAAAACTGGCTCCCTGCTCAGCTCTGGAAAGGCTTATTGCTTCTGTGCCACAGAGTATTGGCATAAACCCCCAACAGGTTTTCTGATCCATTTTGCTCTTTAAGCTCACTATTGTTTGCAAACCTAAAAGGCTTTATCCCTTCACTTTAGGGAGCCCCAGACAACAGGGGCGAGGTACGGTACATACAGCTCACGAACAGAGCGGCTCCACAGATGACACATTCCCCCATGAACATTTTTGGGAGACTGGGGCAATGAGAGATGTGCCAGGGGGCTGGATGTCACTGTATCACAGCTCGGTCGTGCTGGAAGACAGCGACTGGTTGGGAAATCAGCCCTTCCCTCCCTGCCAGAATGACTCAAGACAAAGACTCCCCGCTCTTTAAATGTCCCCGTTCAAAACTCCTGTTCCACACTAACCAGATTTCTGTACAAAAGGGATGGGGGTAGGGAGGGAGAGGGCAATCTCAGCCTCACGGGTCTTTGGGGGGATCCCTTTGTTGGGAAATTTCCCCAGACTATTTAAAAATAGAAGCAGAGCCTTCATAACTATTCCGAGTATAATTATTCCTGCACTTAATTGCCTTTCCCTGGTACCCTACCTCTCCTCCAAATTTCAAGAGAAGGCTCTTGGGGGAGCGCGGAGCAATTTGTGGTTCCCCCTTCCTTTGTGCCAGTTTCGCGGTAGTTAGTAAAATTACCGCGATGCCAGAAAAAGCCATCAATACAAGAGAAGGTGGTTTTGGGGCAGCCCTGGCATAACAGGGTCTACCCTGCCAGAGCGCTGCAGCGGGCAGCATGCCCTGTCCAGGGCAACGTCCATCTGCTCCCTGCACTGCAAGTGCTGCTGGTGCCGGCCACGGCGTGCAGGGTCCCTGCAGGGACCAACGTTGTGTACCCCGTCTCTGAGGCAGGAGACCCTGGGTGAGCCCCCATCCCCACTGGGTGAAACCCATGTGCATCCAGCCCCCCGCACTGGGAGCCCGGGGGTCCCCTGTCACCCCCCGGGGGTCCTGGGGCAGAGACCAGACGCTCC